GCATGGAGGGATGGACACAGGGAAGAGGTAACTATGGGGAGGAAGTGGGAGGGGAGCTGTTGCATTGTGGTAAACTGTGGTCAATGTCATGAGACAAAGTGTATGTGAATAGCTGAATGGAAAGTGAATTTGCTCTGTAAACCTACACCCAAATCATAAAACAAAACAAAAGAATTGGAGAGAAAAGCTCAGTGCCTTTGTGCCAACCAACCTCAAGATTTAGATGTTGTCAGGACCTGCCAATGACACACTCAGAGTCTAAGGAGTCTGTATGGTGGTTTATTTGCAGGAAAGAAATCAAGATGGGCTGTGGAGGGAGAGACTGGATGGTGCCAGAATTGGAACTTGCAAACCTCCCTGAGAAGGGCCAGCAGGCAGGCAGTGGAAGAGCCAAGGCTCCGAAGCAGAATCTGCTCAGCACCCTTCTCTCCTTTGTAGCAAGGAAGCTTTATCTACTTATCTATCCCAAGGTGCAAGAGGAAAACACACACTCTCACTCACACACAAGCTTTCCCTGCAATTCCTGGACTAGGCCACTAGAGGTCAGTGTTTTGATTTGAAAAACCAGGGAAGTATCTAGTACTGTGTGTCATCCCAAAAAGAAATGTAGGAAAGGGTAGCCTAAAGGCGTCCTGGAGTCAGATGGACCCTGGTTTATTAGAAAAAGAATAGGTTGCAGCCCATGTCCTCTGGGGAAGGCCTCCTGCTTCCTGGTTAACTACTCCCAGCCCTGGCCAGTTACTGGTTTTTTGGAGGTGAGGGTGGCTGCTCGGCCATCCCAGGCTGCCATTGGTCCTCGATGGTGACTGGCAGCCATTCTATGGATGATGGCTGTCTCTCCAAGGGCCAGGACTCAGCCTCCACAGGCTGTTCCGTGAGGAATGGCTCTTCCCTCCTTGGTGCTGGGGTCTCTGCCAGCGACTGGGGCGTCTCACTGGGTATTGTCTCTGTCTCGTCTTTGAATAAGAGCTTCATTTGCCAGGTGAATGGCCACAACAGCTTCCAGGAACTCCAGAATGATGGCCTGTCCTCCACAGAGTCTGACTGGCTCTCCAAAGAGGGGGGCTGGTCTGAAGGTAATGGCTGACCCTCCAAGGGTTGGGACTGACTTGCAGAAGTTGATGGCAGGCTTTCTTCAGGCAATGGCGGCCCTTCCTGAGGAGCTGATGACAGCGATCCCTCCTTAGAAGGTGACCTCTGCCCAGGTGATGGCAACCTTTCCCGAGAAGAAGCTGGCTTGTGCTCAGGTGACTCCGTGGTAACAGATGACTTTGACTGGTTCCCCAAGGACAGAGGGCCTTGTCTTTCCACAGCCGAGGAGCTCCTCACAGGGAGCGTATGCTCGGAGGACACCTCTTCCACACGCGGGTACTTCTTCTTCCCCAGGAATGACAGCCTCCGGGAAAGCCAGGTTGGGTCCTTAAAGCCTGGGGGCACCTCTTCTTCAGACGGGGGCTGGTCATGGTTCAGCAGCTCGCTGTTGGTGTCTTGCGGCCTCCGCAGGATGGTGCCCTGAGTGATGAGGTTTGCGTAGCCCTCGCGGTGGGAGAAGGCGTAGCTAGAGCGCCGGACGCGTGACCCCCGCTCTAAGTAGGAAATGGGCTCCACCATGATCTCCTCACTCGGGGCCTCCTCCACCTGCAGAGCAGAGGGGAGGGGGGCCATCAGGATCCCACACTCTGCTGACTGGTCTGTGGGGTCACCTACCCCCCAATGGAAGCTGTTCAGAGTCCTTGGCCTCGGTGGACTGGTCAGGCTAGGCCGGACCCTAGTTGAGCCAACTGGAGTCCTTCCCTGGGACTTAACTCTTGACTAGTGACTGGGGCCCTCTGGCGCCCTCTGGTGGCGGAAGGTGGCCAGGACCAAGAAGGGAAGAAGAGAAGCCTGCAGCTTGTGGGGCCTCCTGGTCCACCAGTCCCTTCAATTCCGGGGCCTGCCCCAGCTGCCGCCTCGCCCTTCCTTCCGTTCTGGCCCCATGAGCCATTAAGTTCCCCCTCTTGGCTCAACCATTTCAAGGTGGGTCTTGTGGCCCCACCCCCAAGCCGTAGCTAATTCTTGTCTGAAGCCCCACAGCGTCAGCATTCAAACCCAGGCTGCCGTTTGAGGATCCCAGATGCCTCTGCCCCAGGAAGTGGGGCCTCCCCCTTGGGACCCTGGAACCTGAGAACCTGGTCCCGGGCCAGGGCTTCCCTCCCCCCTTTCTCGTAGCCCCGCATCTCTGGCTGATGGGGGTCCCAGGGGCAGGTCACGGGGAGCCCAGCCCCAGGGCTGCCTCACCTTGGGGCGTGGCTTCTTGACAAGCCGCCAGATGATACGAAAGGCCAGAACGGACAAGGTGTTGAACGTCACGTTCAGCAGGATCACCAGCAGGGCAAAGGGCTGGGACACCACGTTGCGGTCAGCATCTGAGGACAGAGGGTCGGGTCACAGCCCGGCCAGGGGAGGGGGCCCTTCTCCTCCCTTCTCCCAGGATGTCACTAGACCAAAGGGTAACTGCATGCAAATTCAGAATGGTGCCATTATGGACCGAATTGTGCGTTGGAAATTGCTGAACTGGCCTATGCTCTGCTGGGTGTACTTTCAGCAACAAAATAATTTTTAAGAAACGTGTTGGTGCAAAAAAAAAAAAAAAAAATGCATTGACCCATGTCACTTTAGTTTTGGGTATTTCACTGTACATAAATTATATTTCAATAAAGTGCATTAAAAAGAAAAGAAACGTGTTGGAATCCTTATACACCCAGAGGGAGTCCTGGTGGTGAGCAGTTGAGCACTTGGCTGCTAAATGAAAGGCTGGCGGTTTGAGCCACCAGCAGCTCTGCGGGAGGAACACCTGATGACCGGCCCCGTAAAGATCACAGCCTAGACAGCCCTGCGGGGCAGCACCCCTGTCAGGGGAGAATCGACCCAGAGCCCTAACTCAAAGGCACCGTACTCACTGCCAGCATATCGATTCCAATAACGACCCCTACTGGGTTTCCAGGGCGGTAAATCTCTACGGAAGTAGATTGCCCAGGCTTCCATCCGTGGAGTGGCTGGTGGGTTTGAACCGCCAGCCTTCTGGTTAGCAGTCAAATGCCTTAGGCACTAGGCCACCAGAGCTTCTGTAACAATGTGATCGTATTTGGAAATAGGGCTTCATTGGGATGGAGAAAGAGAGATGCTGCGTGGAGGTCTCCAAGGAACTCTGAGAAAAACACGAGACCGGAGGCCAGGATCACCCCCACAGCAGACACAGAGCACCCCTCTACAGCCAGCACCTGCTTTGTCCCTCTAGCTTCTTGAACTGCAAGAAAGGAGCCTGGGGGCACAGCCAGTTAACTGCTCAGCTGCAAACATAACGGCCAGGAATCTAAACCCACATGGCGGCTCCTTGGGAGAAAGACTGGTGACCTGTTCCCGTAAAGGTGACAGCCGGACAGGGGGACAGAGAGCCGTGCACGGGAGACGCAGCCAACAGAGATAAAGAAGTCCTCTGCACACACAGTCCTGCATTGTCAGCGAAGGCAGACACGGGTATGCGGGCGGACAGATGGGTGGACAGGCTGAACCAGGAGGTATGTCTATGTAGGGGGCAGTGTACCCAAGACCATGTGTAGGGTTGGCAGACAATGGTCCTATAAGGGTATTTGTATGTTCTGTAAGAATTCCCAGGTATATAGTAGAGCTGACAAGGGACAAGGTTCTAGTCACTTCTTGGCCATAGCCAGCTACCCAGAGGGACCGAGTAGTTAAACCTGTGGGCTTGGGACCATAGTCACAGGGGACATCAAGCTAACTGGCGTTAACAGACTACACAAAACATTGTTCCACTTCCTACTTCGGTGAGTAGTGAGTGACTGGGATCTTAAAAGCTTGCAAGCGGCCAACTAGATGCAACTATGGGTTTCTCCTCGTCCACAGAAAAAAAAAAAAAAAAGAAGAAAACCAAAGATTCATGGAAACCATTACTCCTAGTGACTGTGCACCATGCGATCCTCAGCCTATACGACTATGAGAACAGAACTAGATGGTGCCCAGCTACCATTGTCAACCACTCAGAGGGGGATTGGTGCAGGAGATCCTGGATAGAGAGGGAGAACAATGTGGAACAAAACTCAAAAAAAAAAAAAAAAAAGACCAGATTGGTTGGTCTGATAGAGCCTGGTAGAACCCCTGAGACTACAGCCCTTAGCAACCCTTCAGGTCTGGAACTGAACTAACTCCTGTGACTCCCAGCCAAACAACAGATAGGCATAAACTCTCTGCCATCGAATCGGATCCGACTCATAACGACCTCTCCTTGGGCTTCCAAGGAGGTATCACTACAGAAGTAGATTGCCCAGTCTTCCTCATGAGGAGTGGCTGGTGGGTTTGAACCACCAGCCTTCTGGTTAGCAGTCAAATGCCTTAAGCACGATACCACCAAAGCTCCCAGATAGGCATAAGGGGTGAACATTTACATCAGTTAGATCCTCTCCTTGGAAAGATCAGTCATGGGAGAAAGAAGGCCAGTGTTTGCACAGGGAGACAGCTCAGGGGGCAGGAGTGCATGGGAGGGAAGGACACAGGGAAGAGGTGACTAATGGGGAGGAAGTGGGAGGGGAGCTGTTGCATCGTGGGAGACTGCAGTCAATGTCATGAGACAAAGTGTATGTGAACTACTGTATGGAAGATGAATTAGCTCTGTAAAGTTTCCCCCAAATCACAATAAAAATTAAAAAAATAAAAATAAAGATTACAGCCTGTCTTAAGTTGTCTAGAGCTGCTATAAATACCACGAGTGGACAGCTTTAACAAACAGAACTGGACGTATGTAAGAGGGCAACAAATGCAACATAGAACAGGAAACGAGTCTCAGATCACACGAGGATGGGTACAGGTACATGGGTTGGTACAGGAATCCACAGAGTGAGGACAGACAGGTACCGATGGACATGTAAGGGCAGGTACGTGTGGGCAGGCACATACAGTCACAGAAGACACAACTTCAGATACTTCTCGGATGGAACCAAATGCCTTCTGAGGCTGCTTTTCTGGGTTTGAAGGCTTAGCACCTCATGGGACCGTCCAGTCAGTTGGCATAAAAAAGCCCATCACATTCATGTTCTGCAGCCCACAGAAATGGGGTTTGGGGTCTTAAAGCTTCCAAACAGCCATCTAAGATACAACCAGGTGTCTATCATCAGGAGCAAAGAGAAAGAACGTAACCAAAATCACAGAAAAGAAACAAGTCGACAAGGATGACCACCTACACAAGGCACGAGCTCAATTCTCCTGAGACCAGAAGAACTAGATGGTGCCCAGCTACCACCACTGATGGATGCAACCAGGGACACAACAAATGGTCCTGGTTAGAGGACCTCACTCTAGTTTTCTCCCACAGAGAAAAACGCAGAATGAAACTCAAATACTTAAAAATGGCCTGACTAACTGGACCACTGAGACAGAGACTCCCTGAGACCACCACCCTGAGACGCTTTTCAAACCCTGAACCAAAACTATCCTGAGATCACCTGTCAGCAGTAAAGCAAAGTGAGTCACAAAATCAAGGTCATCACCCATTAGATTGGTGCTCTACTATAAAACCCCTGCGGGAGTCCAGAAGGGCAACATTTAATCCAAAGTTAAGATGAGAAGATAAGGGGGCAGGCAAACTAGAGTGAGAGGAATGGAACAACCAGACCACAACGGACGAGGATGTCAATCCAGTGTGAAAACTAACTAACATTGTTGATCACTGTCAGAAGGAACTTAACTTACTGTGTAAACTTTCACCAAAACCCCAACTAAATATTACTAAAAAAGAAAAAAAAAAAGACAGCCCAGAAAGCCCGATGGGGAATTCTACTCTGTCATACTGGGTTGCTGTGAGTCACAATTGGCTGGATGGCACCCAAAACAACAGCAATGAGGAAATCAGTGTCTGGGTGCAAGCCACTGGCCTGTGGCATTTCTGTGACAGTGGCGACAGGAGACTGAGACAGGAGCCCGTTCCTCCAGGCGCTCAGCTGGTGGCCAACTCCAGCTGGTGCGTCTGGGGCCCCGCGTGCCCCGCCCCACCCCGCCCCACCCACGTGGGGGTCCCTACACAGGAATGGGAAAGTTTTGGGCGAGGTTTGGAAGAGCCAAAGGCTCTGAATGGCGCAGGTCATGACGGAGTAGCAGAGGAAACTCAGTAAGATAGCCAGCACGGTCAGCACAGTCCAGTATCTGATGATCAGGATCACCTGTCAGGGAGGAAGGAGCTAGTTTGTGGGGCGCGGGATCCAGCGAACACCCAAGACAAGGGCTGGTGGCCATGTGCCCCAAGGCTCCCGGCGGTACCTCCAAGGTGATGGACAGCAGGCCTGACAGGGCCACAATGACGCCAAACGACTGGTAGTCGCTGAGGTTGGAGGGCCCTCCTGTGTCGTAGCAGGCCAGCAGGGTCACAAAGAAGTTGACCAGGGAGGTGGTCATGCCGTGGCCCAGGGCTTGGAAGAACACCCCATAATTGAACAGCTCATCTTTCTGCCCTGCCATGTATAGCTCTGGCATCTGCAGGCTCTTCCCGGCATTCACATCCTGGGGGCGGGGGCGGTGACAGAGACATGGGACAGGAGCAAGCTTGTGAGGTAGGGTGAAGGCCCTCATCAACACTCTAGCCCTTTGCCCAGTGCAGCTCGTGCACTGAACATGAATCACAAAGAAATAAAACGCAAAGTTCCATTCCTGCATTTTGATCAGAGAGCCTACATAAGAATCCTGATCAAAGTGGGGAAAATGTGGAACAGAATTTCAAATGCTCATGGTAAAGTCTCCAGACTTCCTGGAGCCATTGAGGCTGGATGAACCGATGAGATAATCTTTAAACAACCTTAAACTGTAAACTGTCCCCTGAGGCCTTCTTAAAACCAAACAATAGTACAGCTTAATTCGTGCAGAATGTCTGTCTTAGGATTGTGTTCTGCTCAACAATTATGGAAGTAGGATCCAACTCACAGCAGCAACCCGAAAGGTTGGATGAGACCCTTCAGGGAGAGTGAGTTGCTTTCATGGTGGAGAAATCATTTGGAAAAGGAGGGCCCGGGGGAGTCCCCAGCTTGAACAACATGACCAATGCCTCTGCGCTATGGAGACATTGCAAACTGGCCTATGCTTTGTAGTATTTATTCTCACACATGCACACATTATTTTTTTTTAATGAAAAAATAAATAAGTAAAAATCAAATTCCATTCCACCCTTCAGGTGCTCGATGGCCGTAGCGTGGCGTGTGGCTGCCTGACAGGAATGGCACAGACGTGGGACACTGCCCTCGGTGTGTCAAGCTTGGGGGCCCTTCTTCAGCTCACGGAGCTGGGGCCTCTCAGGGCTGGAGAGGGGACGAATGTAGGAGCCTGTCCTTCCTGGTTCCCTCTCCCCACTGTGCCCGAATTGTGGGGTACACCCAGCAAAGGGGGAGCATTGTATGGGGACGCTGCCCACCGACCCTGGGACCAGGTTGAGTGCCGGTGCTAACAGTGCCAAGGTCCGGGGCAGGGAGAGAGGCTCAACTGCCCCACCGGGACTTCTTCCAGGGCCTGTGGGTCTCCGGCCCTGCTCCCACCAATTCCTGACAAAGCCCGGGAGACGAGGGCAGAGAGGCTCACCTGCTCGAAGAGCCCGATGTAGAGCACCGGGAGGGTGGAGTACAGCAGGTTGAACAGGGCCAGGAACCAGCCTTCATACAGGGGCTGCGGGAGGAGACATGGCTGAGAAGGGCACGCCGTGGGAGGCCAAATGGCCGAGGACAGAGCCCACCTTCACCCGAGCTGCCCCACCGAGCGAGCTGGGCACCCAGGAAGGATTCCTGGAGAGTTAGAAAGTCGCCTCTTCATCAAGCCTGGGGCTGAGATCAGGATGGGCTACATGGGGCTTGTTAAAGGGGGAAGACAGAAGGCAGAGAGGAAGACAGGGGTGTGTGTCCCGGAGCCCAATTCTTTCAACACCCTTGACACGTGTGTGCTTGCGCACATGCATGCTTGCTTGTTTTTTTTTTTAATTGGCTAGCTTCAAGGAGGGCGCTCTGGTGGTGTATTGCCTAAGGTGCCTGACTGCTAACCAGAAGACTGGGGGTTCAAACCCACCAGCCACTCCATGGAAGAAAGGGTGGGCAATCTACTTCCAGAGTGATACTGCCTCAGAAAACCGAGGAGGGGATGCTATGAGTCGGGTCCGACTCGATGGCACATAATAATAGCAGCTTCAAGGAACAGTCGTTGGGTGCCTGTGGAGTTTATTCTGACTCATGCAGACAGGACAGAGCTGAACTGTCCCATTGGGTTTCCCAGGCTGAACAGAGGCACTTCACCGGGTCTTTCGGCCTCAGAATTGTGGGTGGGTTCAAACCGCCCACCTTCTGCTTAGCAACTTAGCGTTTACTCTTTGCGCCACCAGGGCTCCTTACAAAAGTAAACGGTGCTGGGAGCCGAGCGGACCCCAGCTTGCGCGGCCAGCAGCGTGGCTCCGCACCCCCAACGCAGCACGCACCTGGGCGGAGAAGCCGTTGTAGAAAGCGAACCAGATCTGGGCCATCATGCTGGCCACGGTCTTGTAGATGAAGTAGCGAAGGAACTTGCAGACGCGCATGTAGGACCAGCGCCCGTGCACCAGCAGGAGGCGCTGCAGGAAGGAGAACTGGGCCAGCACGTAGTCGCTGTTCTGCACGGCCTGCATGCCCTCCTGGCCCGCCAGCCCCACGCCGATGTCCGCCGCTGCGGGGTCAGCGCAGCCTGTGGGCGGGGGCCACAGGCCCGCCCCTCCCGGCCCCGGCGCCCCTGAGGCCCCGCCCCGCGCCCAGCACCGCCCCCGTGTCCTCCCCGCCCGCGCCGCGCGCTCACTCTTGATCATGTTCACGTCGTTGGCGCCGTCCCCGATGGCCAAGGTCACCACGGCCTGATGCTTCTTGATGAGCGACACGATCAAGGCCTTCTGCTTGGGCGTCACCCGGCAGCAGATGACTGCCTGGCAGCGCACCGCCAGGTTCACGAAAGCCCGCTCGCGCCTCATCTCGGGACTCTCCGGGGGCTTGAAGTCCTGAAAGTGCCTGCCAATGGGGGTGCTCCCCAACCGCTGCAGGAAGGGGCCCCACATCTGGGACAGCCACTGCCTCAGCCAGGTGCCCGGCAGCTGGCCAGGCTCCTGCCAGGACTCGTCGGTGGGCATGTTCGACTGCAGGACGGAGGGCTTCCCCATGGAGGTCGGGATCATCAGCTGGTCCTGGCCCAGGGGGCGCAGAGGCTGTGTCACACTCTGCCCCCAGCCCCAGCACTAACATTTCCCAAACGGCCCCCCGAGGCCCAGCTCAGCCCTCCTTCAGGGCGTCGCGGGCGTCCTGACCTGTGCCCTGGGCACCCCGCATCTCACCACCCAGGCCTGCCAGGGCCGTGTCCCTCCCTGGCTCCGCTCCACTGAGTCCAAACTCTCCAGACAGCATTTGAGGTGCTTCAGCCTACTTTGTTTAACAGCCAACCCGCAGGGGGCCCTGCCTGATCCCCGGCCCCGCCCCCAGCGCCGCCCCGCCCCCAGCGGGCTGCTGCCACTGACCAGAAATTCCCCAGTGATGACCATGGCCATCTTCACCGTCGGGAGGGGCCGGCTCTTGCCATTCTGCAGGTTGTTGTTGCTGTCCCAGTAGCCCTCTAGCATGCGGCTGTGGGGGCCAGAAGGGGGTCAGCCACGCCGGCCAGCCCAGACCCCTCCAACCCCATGCCTTGCTCTCCTGCTCTGTCCAGGAGTGGGAGAAAGGGCCAAAGAGGGTCCCGCCAGGCCGCGGTCGCAGGCACTCTGCCGAGCCTCTGGGACTGTGTCTGGGCCCTGGATGCCCCCAGCCCTGCCCCCAGTCCCTCCTCCCCCACCATGCTCACAGGATCTCCCGCTCTTCCAGAATGATCATGTCCTCCGAGAGCAGGTGGCAGGCAAAAGCGATGTTCACAGCCGTCTCTGCAAATCAGCTGCACTCAGTTCCACTGGCCCCAACCCACCTGGGACACCCTGCAGCCATCCACACCCATCCAGCCCCACAGCCCTTAGGGTGGAACACTCCGGCAGACTCAGACCCCACCAATCACAGCAGCACATTCTGCCCCTGGCTACAATGACTGGTTCAGAGAAGGGCATGTGACCCATGCTAGCCAATAAGACGCAGCCCTGAGACTGGCAGCAATTCTCAGCAAACATGCTCTGTCTGGGCCAGCTGGGGTGCGGTGCTGGAGGCGTTTGAGTCTGGGGCCAGGCCTGGTCCAGGAGGCCCCACAGAGGTTCCTGGCATCCAGTGCCTCAGGCCTAAGCTAAGTTTTAGAGGACCTGTGAAAATGTCTTACGATGTTTTAAAACAATAAGGAAAAAAAATGAATACAATCCAGCCTGTATTATGTTTTGTTGTTGTTAGGTGCCACTGAGTTGTCTCAGATTCATAGCGATCCTATGCACAACACAAGGATACACTTGCTGGTCCTCCGCCAGCCTCACAATCCTTGCTATATCTGAGCCCATCATTGTAGCCACTGTGTCAATCCATCTTGTGGAGGGCCTTCCTCTTTCTCATTGGTTCTCCACCTTACCAAGCATGATCCTAACATCCTCCTCTGGGGAATGGTCCCTTCTGACAACGCGACCAAAGTAGGTGAGACCAAGTCTGGCCATTCTTGCTTCCAAGGAGCATTCCGGCTGCACTTCTTCCAGGACAGATTCGTTAGTTCTTCTGGGAGTCCATGATGCTTTCAGTATTCTTCCCCAACACCACAACTCAAAGGCATCAACTCTTCTTCGGTCTTCCTTATTCATTGTCTAGCTTTCACATGCATATGGGGTGACTGAAAATAACATGCCTGTGTCAGGCGCTTTAGTCTTCAAAGACGTCTTTGCTTCTTAACACTTTAAAGAAGTCTTTTGCAGCAGATCTGCCCAGTGCACTGCGAAGTCTGATTTCTTGACTGCTGCTTCCATGGGCGTTGACTGTGGATCGAAGTAAAATGAAACCCCTGAAAACCTCAATCTTTTCTCCACTTACTGTGACGTTGCTTACTGGCCCAGTTGTGAGGATTTTTGTTTTATGTTGAGTTATAATCCATACTGCAGACTGAAGCCTTTAATCTTTTTCAGGAAGTGCTTCAAGTCCTCTTCGTTTTCAGCAAACAAGGTTGTGTCATCTGCATATCACAGGTTGCGATCCTCCAATCCTGATGCCACGTTCTGCTTCATATAGTCTGGCTTCTCAGATTATTTGCTCAGCATACAGATTGAATAAGTATGGTGAAAGGATACAACCCTGACACGCTCCCTTCCTGATTTTAAACTATGCAGTGTCCCCTTGTTCCATTCGAATGACAGCCTCCTGGTCTATGTACAGGTTCCTCATGAGCACAATTAAGTGTTTAGGAATTCCCATTCTTCTCAATGTTACCTACCCATAACTTGTTATGATCCACATAGTTGAATGCCTTTGCATAGTGAATAAAACACAAGTAAACATCTTTCTGGTATTCTTCGCTTTGAGCCAAGATCCATCTGACATCAGCAATGATATCCCTTGTTCCACGTCCTCTTCTGAATCCAGTTTGCACCTCTGGAAGTTCTTTGTCAATATACTGCTGCAAACGTTTTTGAATTATCTTCAGTAAGACTTTATTTACATGTGATAATAATGACATTGTTTGATAATTTCCACAGTCTGTGGGATCACCTTTCTTTGGAATGGGTACAAATATGGATCTCTTCCAGTCAGTTGGCCAGGTAGCTGTTTTCCAAATCTCTTGGCATAGTCCAGTGAGTGCCTCCAAGGTGGCATCTGTTTGTTGAAACATCTCAATGGGTATCCGTCAATTCCCAGAGCCTTGTTTTTCGCTACTTCCCTCAGTGCAGCTTCGACTTCTTCCTTCAATACCATCGGTTCTTAATTTGATGCTACCCCATGGAATAGTTGAATGTCGGCCAATTGTTTTTGGCACAGTGACTCTGTATTCCTGCCATCTTCCTTTGATGCTTCCTGCATTGTTCAAAATCTTGTCCGATAGAATCCTTCAAGATTGCAACTTGAACCTTGAATTTTTTTTTCAGCTCTTTCATCTTGAGAAATGCTCAGCATGTTCTTCTCTTGTGGTCTTCTAACTCCAGGGCTTTGCATATTTCATTATCATTGACTTTGTCTTCTCCAGCTGCTCTTTGAAATCTTCTGTTCAGCTCTTTTATTTCATCATTTCTTCCATTTGCTTTAGCTACTGTCTGTTCAAGGCCAAGTTTCAGAGTTTCTGCTGACATCCATTTTGGTCTTGTCTTCCTTTTCCTGACTTTTTAATGACCTTTTGTTTTCTTCACATATGATGTTTTTGATGTCACCCCAAAATTCCTCTGGTTTTTGGTGTTCAGTGCATCAAATTTGGTCCTTAGATGGTCTCTAAATTCAGGAGGGATATCATCAAGGTCATATTTTGCCTCACATGGATTTAATGATCTTCAGCTTCAACTTGAGCTTGCACGTGAGCAGTGGATGGTCTGTTCCACAGTCAGCTCCTGGCCCTGTTTTGGCTGAAGATATTGAGCTTCTCTATCGCCTCTTGCCACAGATGGAGTTGACCACATTCCTGTGAGTTCCATCTGGCAGAGTCCAGGTGTATAGCTGTCCCTGCGATGAGTAACTCGCTGGTCTTGCGAATGCTATCATGCCATGTCCAGCGTCACTTCTATCACCAAAGGCATCTTTTCAAAATACGGATGCTTCTTTGTTTCTAAGTTCTGCTCCCGCTCACCAGGAATCGCCACCACACCCTGACTGCGTGCATCCACCGCTGTGTTGGTGCGGCCCTAAAACATCATTTCCAGTGTGATTTTGCGGAGGGAGGGCCCCCCGAGAGTCCTGATGTGGCCCTGCTGCACCCCCATGCCCTGCTAATCACGCAGCTGGCCAGACCGTTCCCTGGGAGGCATCTAAGAGCCCTGAGGCCAGAGGACCTGTAGGTCCGAGACCAGCTCTGCCCCTCATGCACAGGGCCACCTCAGGCTGCTTCCCCAAGCTCTCTGAGCTGGCTCCCCCATCCGTCCCACAGGGGCCTGCGGGCCATGCCTGGAGGAGATAGCGTGAGCGTGAAGTTCTCACCCGGCACTCACCTCGGGGAATTGCAACTGTTATTATTATTGGCACTATTGTTTTTAATCTACCTGTTTCTCCCTTTCCCGGGGACCCTATATGGACGGCAATGTTGCGTGCCAGAGAGTCAATTCCAACCCAGTGATCTGGTACGACGCAGCCTCGCTGCCCAGAGGGTGCCCCAAACTGTGATCCCTAAGCAGGCTGCCATGTCTTTCTCCCAAGGAGCCGCCGGGTGGGTCTGAACGGCCAGCCTTTCAGCTAGAAGCTGAACGCTTAACCGCTGCTCCACCAGGCTCCTTCTGCAGGCCAATGCTTAACCCAGAAGACAGGCAGGCTGCGTGGGCTCCTCCCTGCCCTCTCCTTCCTCCCTCTCCCCCCACAGGGGTGTGGGGGGGGGGCTGGGGCCAATGGTGTGATCCGGACTCACCTTGCTTGTCCCCTGTCAGCACCCACACTTTGATATTTCCTTTCTTCAGGCACTTGATGGTGTCAGGGACCCCGTCCTGCAGTCTGTCCTCAATGGCGGTGGCTCCTAGCAGCTGGGGGCATGGGGAAGGGGCCTGAGCAGTCCCCTAGCTCCCAGCAGGG